ACGCATATATCTTCGATAACTTATTCAAATAAATCAAAATATTTCATATACTTTCTTATAAAGAATTTGTTTGAAAATAATTCTATATTAAAGCATTGAATTCACATTTGGAACAGATTTATAAAATAATTTAAACTAGATTATTTAATTTAGTTATAGTAATTGTGATAGAAACAAAATTGTCATTGAATTTACAAGTCATATATGAGACCAAAAGTGACTGAAACGCCGCAAATACTGTATGCATTTGCCAACCGATTCTGTGCTTACATTACATTAAATGCAATCTCTATAACAGTGAAAGCGCATGACTTCAAGAATTACTGTAATGTTTGCCTTTTGCTGTATTTGTTCACAAATTTCATCAAATAAGTGAAATTGTTTTACATATAAAACTTCACAGAAACATAAAATATTATTGAAATAAATAATTAAATAATGATATTTTTGTTTTAAATTATTTAGCCAATTAACTGAAATGTATAACATTTATTTGTATACTTAAAATTCAACCTATCTGGTTTTCTTAAATTAAATAAACTTAACGCTTACTTCTAAGCTAACAATAAAAATATAATTTTGTAATATTCTCGTGTTTTACACATTATTATCCAATATAATGGCACAGATATAATAGTAAACCAAAATACTAGATCTAAAAGCTCATGACATAATAAATAAGTCAATTTTAAATTAGATTTATAAAAATCGGTTATATTTGAGGCTAACATTAGCTGAAGTGTTAACATATTTGACGTGAATAGAAAATAACCAAATCTAAAATGTCGTCCAAAATTATCCTTACAATTGCATTGATGTATATCTCAAACAGTTTTAGTATAAATCCGATTTGCGAGCAAAACTATGTGAATAATATGTATACAAAAGTGATTAAAAATCCGGACAACGATAAAACGGAAACACTGATCACAATAGTGAGGGGCGAACACCAATTCCTATGGAATCTAAACAACGGTGACAACTATACAGGAGTGGGAGAGCCGGCACACGTCGATCAACACCAAGGGTTTCAGATACTGACCAGAGTTGAGATGTTGGAAGTGTTCAATTGTAATGACAGTGAATGCAATCAAATGTTCTCAAAAATCATCACTTTTTATCGTAATAACCGTAACAACAACTACATGTATAACTATACGGATCTGACCGAAGAGAACACTGAGATAATTCCTCAGTCTATGCCTAATAACATTCATGTGACCGGAGATCCCACTGAAGACTACGAGTACAACATTTGGCCAAAGGATTGGATCAATCAAACCAATCCATGCGCTCGGTATCTAATGTGCAGTTTTGTTAACAATATGTAATACTTACGGCTGTTAAGTAGCGTTGGGTTTTGTCATCAGTACTCTCACAGATTGTTAGGAAAGTTAGCCTGCTTGCATTCGGCACTTCTCCACGACATTGGCGTCCATTTCGTGGGCTTCTTCAACATCGATAGATATAATCATACGGCAAATCTAGTGGTGGGCTATATTTATGGTGTCACTTATGATCGGCAAACAAACACTTCCTATGTATATGAATACAGTACGACTACACAACAGTTTAAACACTCAGTATGTGATAATTTACTGAATTGCCTTTTTTGCAAATAATTGGATTGATTTTCTTAAAGGGAATGGATTTCAAACGCTTTATGAAATGTCCGAAAGATGAGACCAATTCTCTAAAAGTTATTATAATCTTTCTGGTGATTGTGGCCGTTATGGTAGTGTCTTGTATAGCGTTTATAGCGATAGTGATAATTATATTGCAAACAAACTCCTCAAATAAAAAACAAACAAGTTTGTATCAATTAATTAGCATTCTATCCTGTTTTTTAAATACAAAAATTAAATTAATTAAACAAATTTCTAATGAAGGAGATTATTCGGATGAGACCAAGAGTCGCGCCACAGATTTATCAACTGCTGTCAAAACTGTGCAAACAATGCATTCGGACACTGGCGAGCACTTCACTCAAAGGAGCACTAGCTATAACCAGTAACCACTAACCAGTAACATCTCATTGACCAACAAATTCACAAACATTCATTAAATTATCTAAGAATTAAATATTTAACAATTTCTAGCAAATAATATTTTTAGTTTAATCTCTTTTAATGTTCACAAATATAAGTTTTAAATATGAAAATAAATTTCCATTTGTACTTTTCTTTGTATTTAAAAAATTAATTTGCATATTTTGCTTATTTTGATATAAGTCTACATTAAAAAAGTTATAATTACAAATCATTTAAATAATTATAATTAAAACAAAAGCAGTTATTTCTACTTAAAGCATTTTAATTAATAACTTGAGCTTAAAATTCAAAGACAACATTAAAATTCATAAAACATTCACAACGAGAACCGAGTCTACAGTTAATACATGTAGAAAAAGATGAGAAAAAATTTAAGAAAAATTAAACCCAATTATTTTCGAGTGAGTCTTTGACACACAATTAATCGTATTTTATTTTTCAATGGGTTTTAAAAAAATAAATTTTGTCTCAAATCTTTATAAATCGCTTCTATTCTAAAAGCAAAAAAGTAAATAGACTTTTGGGTTAAGTTTTTCATTCACTGCAAAATTAAAGCCAAAAATAACATATTTTTACTCTTTATTAGATTAGATTTTTATTAACAAATTTAGACGATATTAAAAATATAAATTACCTTCAACATAATGAAAATAAATAACATAAAGTGTGTTTTAAAACAATAAAGTTGGTAATTTATTTCTATTAATATGATATTTTTGATGAGATTTTACAGCAGAAGTTATTTTCATAATAACATCCGCGAGTCGTAAACAATGCTATATTTCATATAAATCTAACGCTGTATATAAAAAAGTGAGACCAAAATATATATATATAAAAGTGAAAGTTTACCAAAAGATTTATCATAAGAAATGTGTGAAAAATATAGTAAAAAAGAGATTATAAGTTAACTGTATTTCTCGAGTCAATGGATCCAAACATAGACTGAGGAATACATATAGGGATTGGATTGAAAGCGTGACATGAGTTAGAGTACATGTATTGGATTTCTCATTATATTCCTGCACTCATATCGACGGATTCTCTCTCTCTCTCTCTCTCTCTCTCTCTCTCTCTC